TATGCATGTCAAAAGCTAATGGGAAACTTGCATTACAGTTTTATTTATAAGTTTATCTGCATCAGTTTGCAGTTCTAGGCAAAGCTAATTTTGTACAGAATTGGACCCAGACAAGTGAAGCAGGGCTATTCTGCTGACCATGAACAGACAGACAAGAGTGAAACAGATCCTGCTTCTCAAAGACAATCACCCTTCACTCTTAAGCCAAATCCAAATCATCAGCTATTCAAGATCAAGATTAAAGAGTTTCCTAATAGCATTTAAACAGTGGAAGTGCTCTGTGTCTACATAACCAACAAGGAAGAACTTCTAGCCTTTTTTAAGACGAAATAATTTCCCCACGGGGCTGAGAGTGAGGAACGTCTGTTCAAGAAAAAAAATATCACTTGAACATTTGCAAGCTATTACAAAGGAAGTTAAAATATTTGAAACAGAGCTGTTACGTCAACGTAGCAGTGCTATCATTCACAAAAAAAGGCTAATATATTCCAATTGCATTAACTTGCTTTTCCCAAGTCTCCCCATACCATCTTCAATATCCTAATACCTCTTTGACATTTGACACTAACACACATCCTCCTCTTTGTAAAATAACTCCCTATGAGGTCTTACTCTTTCTTTTCAAAGTATGATGGTAGTGGGAAATAGAAATTTAAAGTCTCAGAGTCTTTTTCTAAAGATCAGTAGTATTAAAAAATTCCACCTGGCAACTGCTTCTTATTTGATGTCAGCCAATCTAGTTCTACTGCGTCTAGCAATTGCTTTCCAGCTGATGGACAAAGAACTTTATATGTCAAAACACACACAAAAAAAAAAATTTAAAAAAATCCCATCTGAAAAACCACAGAAGCCAATGAGGCCCTAGGCAAATATTTTTCACAAGAACTGTAGCATTCATGGTGCATTTTAAGGCAACAAGAAGACATGCTGAGGTCAGAGGTTTCATCTGCACAAGAAAATCAGAAACTCTCCTATGAAAAAAAAAGCCTGAAGAATCACAGCTCTGGAAAGTTATGCACTCAAAGAGATATTCCGGGTCTTAAATTCATTCAGAAGATTTTACCCACACTATCCAGACATGCCTCTAGCATGCATCAAGACTGCTCATATGGCAGATCTTAGGCTAGTACCAGTTTTGGTGGAGGGATGAGCTACTTATGGAAGAAAATACTCTTTTCCACCATAAATTATTCTTATGGACTTCTTAGAGTCTTGGAATATTAGCACCAGGGGAAAAGGCAACAGTGATTACACAAATTATTTGTACAAAGACTCTGATATTAAACTAGACACATATTTAAAGACTGTCAGTAAGAAAGTTTATTGATCGGTAAGTGGAACAATTCATAAGGAAATGCTGCCTACTGATGTCTATTTACTGCACTGCACATAACTGATATGATCAGCTCAGATTAAGGAAGGTGCATTGACACAGCAGAATACACAAGTTCTCCATACCTCGCCTTTCAGCCTCAGCTTGGGAGCATGAAGATTTCATTCCTATAAACATGCAATCCCTACAAAAACTTATTTCTTATCCTCATCAAAGAGGAATAGGCAATGAAAAAGCCAAATTTTATCAACTGAAAGATATCCTCCCCTCAAAGACCAGAATCCACAGTCCTCCACCTTTTTCTTAGCCAAACTGTTTAGAGTTTAGCCAGGCAGATCCTTTAACACAGGAGGCAGTTTGCAAGCACTAGAAGACGTACACCTTGACCAAAAGTCCTAAGAGCATATTATTTCATTATTCTAATTGTCATAGTAATAGAAGATTAAATATGCGTGGCATTTTATGGAAACTAACAGATTATTTTATTTCCAAAGACTGTATTTCACTTCTAAAGACTGTTATTTGCTACCATGATCACTTGAGGAAAATCTTCCACTTGCAGCATAAGAGAACACAGACATAGTCAGCTCAAAGAAAGAAGAAAACCTCACAGAAAATGTATCATCTTCATATTTGAAAGAAATTCAAATAGAAAAGTTTCTGATGGACAAAGCTGGCACATGCTATATTAGAGATTTCTGTCTCATCTAGATGGTTCCTGCAGTTGGGAAAACAAAAGGACCTATCTTGAACTGTGGAGAATGAAATGAGTAGAAGATCTTACTGAAATACTAACAAAATCCAACACGGATTTGTCATTTACAAAAGTATAAGCGGTGATAAATAATATAAATGTTTACCTGCATAAGCTTAGCAACTGAACAATAAAAGGGTGTGAGCAACACTTTTAAACATATTATGAACAGAATATGCCTTCAACAGTATTGTTTAACACAGTCATGACAGAGTATTATGGGGTTTGTGCTTCTCTCTTTAGCAACAGCTAAAATGATACAAGCACATCTGTGCAAAGACAACAGAGTGTATCACCTCAGTTCCAACCATTCCTTTGACACAATAAGAAATGTATTGATGGTTTCTAAAAGCACATTTCCCCCCTAATACAATGGAACGCCCTTTGTAATGGAAAATTCATTCTAACATTTCCAAGCTAATAGTTTGTTTTCTTCAACATTAGCACTGGACTGACTGTTGAACTCTGGCTCCAGAACTGAATTTCATCCAGCTGAATTAAGGTCAAAATCAGTATTCTTACTGCGCAAGAGAAGTTTAAATCCTGCTGGGAAAAAAAAAAATAAAAAAAATGTACTGTTAACTTCTTCTGGTAAGGAGGAAAAAAAAGGCAATGTAAATAAAATGCTATGAATACTTTAAAACTTAAACACTAACTTCAAAAACAGTGAAAAAAATCAGAAGTTATAACTGTGAAGATTTGAAACATGAAGGTTTAGATTACACACATACCTTGCATTAACTACTTGAATACTACTTATATGCTAACAGCTATTATGCACATATTATTAATGCTCAGCTGTAGACATATGGGAGAAAACTCTCCTATAAATATTATGAATGTGTGGGATATTATTTCTTCTTAAAGGATGAAACCAATCCCATGTTATCCCTTGTACTAAATACTGTGCATGTCCACATTGTACGTTGAATATAATAATAAATCTACTGTTAAAAGAGAGTATGTAAACTGCACTGATATCTTTAGTCTATGTGCCATACTCTCTAGCTGACAAATTCATAAGAACTATATTGCCACCCTCCCCATTAGACTCTATTTGCCATACCTGGCATTTTAAAAATGAGACAGGCAGGTAAGAGGTCTATGTCAATTTACACTAACAGGACAAATTTCAAAGGTCTTAACACTATGCCACTCAAATCATGTAAGTTTCTTTGCTAATTTCACAAAGAGCAAGTTTGTGTGCATTGCTGTTAGATGAACAAAATCATGCTGTCAATGTAAGGGATCAATCTCCACACTTAGAGCCTGCAGAACTTGCCCACTGCTAAAGACTGTATAGGGATTAACTGGCACAGCCCACTGTAAATTGGTTTGTTTGTTTGTTTTTAATTTAAACATGTTAACAAGGTGTGAAAGCTTGTATTATTGCTGCCAAAGCTCTGAGAAATGTCCATTGCAAAAATCTTTGGACAATTTTTAGAAAGAAGCTTTGAGAAAGTAACAGAGAGATCTTGGTGAGACGGATGTACCAGTAACAGCCTCATGATGCTTCCTTTGGTAGAGGAAGCCACTTAATGGTGATGCATAACAAAGGCAATTTTTTGCATCTGGAAGCAAGTTAAGTTTCACCATATCTCCTCAAATCAGGAAATAATTTCTAAAACAATACATTTAACCTGAAAAACCACCATGCATCCGAAAGAGAATAATTTCTCATCATGCCAACATTCCATAAGAGCATTCCATACTTTGTGGGTTAATGAAATGTTATTACACTGAAAGATTTTTGCAGCTCCAAAGGTATTTAATGTAACAATTGCAGATACTGGGTTCCTATGCCTTGGAAGGACACAATTTTATACAAGATATATTCAACCAACAGCAATACTCAGTGTAGCAAGTAAAATGCTAGCTACAGCTTGTGTAAATCGTAAGAAACTAAGAGATACTTAATTTCAGAAGGGCACACCTGTGTCTAAATGAAAACATAGAAAAAACATTCTCACAAATATCAGCTTCTATTACATTGTCCTAAAGTATCTTTAGCGTTATAAAAACTGGTGTTACACGAGCAGCTATTACGCAAAACTTGCAAGAAGTGAACATTTCTCATAAGAAGCTTAAAAGACATTAGAGCCTCAGCATCTCTGAAACCTCACTCCAGTTAGACACCTTAGAGAGGAAGGATGCTGATAAAAAGGTCTTGCAAGACCTTAAGATGCTCCCTCAAACCAGAGATCATCTGAATGAATTACTGGTTTGCATTCTAAGATGTATTTTGCCTATGCCTACAACCATAGTTAATATCTTACAAAAAAAAAAAAATACTGAGAGGACAGCAAAGAGTTCCTAGTCTGAACACCATTACCTGCCATCCCTCGTCTTATTTAAAATTGTGTTGAGATGGAGCGTTTTCTGACAGCGACATGACATGAAGCCGCACACTGCCGCAGCCTGCCTCCCCTCCCGCAGCCGCAGCCCTGCGTCCGTCCCCGCTCCGACAGACCTCGCCGCCCAAGTTTACGGGGAAAGGGGTAGTATGTGGCTTTTAGGTCCTAGGCGAGGTTTACTGCTCGGGCTGTTAAGCCAGTCCGGCGGTACGGGAACAGGCTGCCTTCCCTCCTCGACACCAGGTACAGCCGCGCACTCCGCACCCTGCGCCTCACAGCCGCTCACAGCGCGGGGCCGCCGGAGCCGCGTCCCGCCGGCGCCTCTGCCGCACCTGCCCCGCTCGCTCCCACCCACTCCCACAGGCAGCGCCAGGCAGCGCGGAAGGGACAGAACAGAGCCCCGCGGCAGCGCGGTAAGGGCTGAGAGATCTCCGCGGAGCCCCGCGGCAGCGCGGTAAGGGATCTCCGCCTCCCCAGCGGCGTGGAGCGCTGAACCGCGCCGAGCGCTTCGCCTTCCCTGCGCAGGGCGGCCGCGGGGCGGGGAGCCGAGAGCACCCACCGGGGATGGCCAGGTTGGTGAGCGGGGTGCTGTGGAGGCTGGCGGGCAGCGCTGCCATCCAGTCGGCGAAGAGCAGCTCGTTCTTCCCCTGCGACGAAGCCATGCTGCCGCCGCAGCTGTTACCGCCGCCGCCGCTCGCTCCAACTCGCCCAGTCCCGACCACGGCCACCGCCGCTGCCACAGCCCCGCCGAGCCCGGGCCCCGCCCGCCTGGCACCGCCTCTCCCCGCCCCGCCGAGCCCCCGCCACCTCCCCGCGGCGCGGCGTGAGAGCCCTCGGGGCCGGCGGCGAGCGCGGCGCGGCCGGACGGCACCGTCGGGCTGGGCCCGGGCGCTCGGCGGGCGATCCCGCGCCAAGAACCGCGGCGGGCTGGGCAGGGAGCGGCGTCGCGGCCCGGCTCTGGCGGGTCCGCACCACCCCGGCCCCGGGCAGCCCCTGCCCCGGCGCCCGGGGGCCAGCAGCAGATTCCCCCCGGGAGCGCAGGGCTGCCGCCGGCAGGGCGGCTGTGCCCGGGATGGCGCTCGGGGCCCCCGCCGGCGGCTGGTGGCCCTGGGCCTCAGCAGAACCTCGCTGACCTTGGTGATGGCTCGACTGAGTGCCCCGCGCCGGGACCCGACATCTCCCGCAGCCGGCTCCCGGGCAGCTTCATCTGCCCCTGATACGAACGTCTTTTTGTAATGGGTTGTTCACAGGGGAAAAAAACAAAAAAAACAGTGCACCTTAGTTGAACATGCCGTGGAGATCTAATTTTTTGGCGATAAATTTTTATTCTTCTTTGAGGATGATCCGAAGTAATACCTTCGGATGAGTTATCATCTATAGCCTATCTTTGGCGGTTTAGGAAGCATTTGTGTGGCTGCCTCCGGATGGATGAATGAATGAAACTGATAAAGCTCTGTGAGCCATTTCAAACTGTTAGAACAAACCTGGTCTTTTCACCTTCAGTGTTACCCATTTTTGTGAAAGTTCTGTATACGTTTGTAGAAGTTCACAAATATAAACGACATTTATATGTGTCACACATTTTGACAGGTGGAGCTGTCAAAAACAGGGCCTAGAGAGAGCCATAATTGAGACAGGTTCAGTTTATCAGTTCACCTTGAATTCTTATGAGGGTCAGCTGTGGTCCTGTAGCTTGTGTTCTTACTCAAACCCTTCTATAATAACTGGGTTTGGTAATAAAACTTCAGGGAACAACTAATAATAGCCTTCTTTCTGTCTAAAGTTTCCAGAGCAAGTATGATGAGAAACTCTTCCTTTGGCCACAATTTCTTGAAAAGTAAGTGAGTATCTCTGAGGTATTTAAATAAAGAAAATTTTACTGACTCACTTTTTGCAATAGAAATAGCTCTTGAGGTGGGATTTCACTGGGGAAATGTGATCAGATGGTTGACCCTGGGGGAGATGTTGAGTCAGATTTGAACAATACATGAAAAAGGGGAAGGAGAAAACAAACAGCCACCAAGGCCTGTTAGATTTTTGCAGTATTGCATCCTGTGTATGAAGATGCTGATCTGGCCCTTCCAGAATCACTGGTATTAGAAAGGATGAAAAAAGATAATCTGCATTTTGAATATGAAGACATAAACCTCACTTAAATATGGAAGATGTTAGTCATGTAAAGGTGGAAGGTGTTACATTACATCATCTTCAAAGAATGGGAAGAAATTTTTGCAAAAATTCCAAGATTTCTAAAGAATATTCCAGGAGCAATGAATCTTTCTATCAACATGATTAAATCAAATCAGATTTTTTATTTAAGGGGCAAAGTTAGTAATGGATTACACTGGTCACTTGGAAAATTGCTGCAGAACTTTCATCCATTTCACTATGTGGCCTATCTTTTCTGAGAGAAAACTGAAGTATACATCTTTTTGAAAGATTACACATGCTGTTAGTGCTGTTGTTGATCTCTTATGGTATCTGAAGCTTTGGGGATAGCTCAGTGCAAAATAAATACCAGAAAACTGATCGCTTTAAGATGTGTTAATATGTATAACAACATCTAAAATTACCTTCCAGTAGTGCTGAAGACCTGTAAATATGCCTCTCTGTACTGACTAGAAACTTGTTGGCATTTGCTTCTGCAAGCAGCTCAGGCTTTTGTATCTTCTTTTTTTTTTTTTAATGCCCAAAGTAAGATTCTTAATAGTCTGGATTTTAAAACCATGAATACTCTGCTTCATGAAAACTGCCCCACTCTAGCATGTCTCAGACTAGTCATGCTTGAAGAGGTTTGCCTCTGTTTCTAGTGCAATGTAACTGCTAAAATAGCCGGCTTAAAATCTGTCATTGAATGTCTATGAACTTGGGAGTCACGGGCTTATATAATTTGAAGGGAAGTGGGATAGGAAAGGCGACTCTTATGGGACAGAAAGTCAGAAACCTTTATAGATCAAATTAAGAAACACTGACTTAGAAGCTTTGACTTCAAATAAAAGATTTTTTTTTTCTAGCTTTTCAGTGGCATGAGACTTCAGCGTTTCTCTGTGTATCTGCTTGGGAGGTGTTTAATAAAAAAGGCAAACCATTTATCTTGATGAAAGACCAGTTTATTGTGGTTTAGTTTGAACCTGTCATTTTACTAATTTTCACTGATTTATAAACAGTGACAGCCTGTAAATCAAAGGCAGAGTATCTATACAAACTTTTATTCCTATTTAAAAACAATAAAAAACCAAACAAAAAAAAAATCACATTTGTGGCCAGATTACTGAAATCCTTACACATAGAAAGTCTGAACGGTTAAAGAAAGTAGATTTCAGGAATTAAATAATTTAAACGCTTAAAACTACCAGGTAAAATGAAAATTAAAAGCAGTGCCAAGATACAGAAAAATACCATCTTTGCTCTCTTATTCACAGCTGTGCTGAGCGCACTGAAGATGCCATGAAGAGATGGAAAATTGAAATTGTGTTATCTGTTCATCATGTATTGTATTCTCTCCAGTCTGCAGTGTGGATGAATAGATACACCTCTGCTTCCATGGAATTGCAAAATAGAGTTATTTGGCCAATAGGAATGTTGCTTCAGCATTCAAAATTAATTACACTGTTAAAAAAGACTTTCTGTTTTTTTTATTCTTCTAAAAAAATTGCATTTTAACAGTATGCATTCACTGTTATGCTTTTTCATTTTAACAATCGCATCTTTTGCTTTTTCATATCTCCTTGTCATCTATTTTAATCATGTGAATAACAAAGGACTAACAGGATCTTTTTTCTGTAAATTACATAAAGTACATTGCACTCTGAAAGGTAAAAGGAAAAAATACTTAATGGGGCACTGTAATTCTGTGACTTTCCTATTATATAGAAAATTTATTTATTTACTTCAAATTTATTGTTAATGAATTCAAATGAGTCTTGGAACTGAAGAATTAGTATTGTTTAAATACTTTAACTTTTTCAGTGGATTCTGCTTCTGAGGTTGGTTTCTTCCTCCTTCTTACTACCCATTTCTATTAATAGAGGTTTTTCAGAAAAAATCCTGGCTGCCATCCCATGTTTGCATCTCTCATGGCTTTGAGTGACTCTATCAGTAACATTTGGGCAGTAAAGCCCTTCCAGTTGTTTGCAGCTGAGTTCGTAATTATATTTTTGTTACTTGGGAGCACAGTGGATTCATTATATTCTGAATTTTGCTCCTTCTCACGGCTAACAGGTATAACAAGTAGGACGAGTACATAAAATCTCAAAGTGTATTGACTAAATGAAATCATTTATTCAGTAGCCATATGGGTGAACAGAAGTCATGACAGGTATTTTGTTGTAATTTTATACTTTGTCTGGCTACTTTGACAATCCCACCCTTCATTCATTTTCAGTCTCTATTTAGCAGTATTTGTCCTGTCAAAACAGATTACAAAATTCCTCAGTAGTCAGAAACGTTGCAAAACCAGGAAAATAGTATTTTCTCCATTTTATGTGAAAGGATAAATCTGTTCCTGATTTTCAAGCAAAAGAAAATGTGGTTTATTCTGTTTTACTCTGATTTGTTATTCTCTACTAAGAAAACTTCAGCATCCTTGCTTGTGCCAGTAATGAATTTGAGAAGAAAATATTTGTCAGGATGCTGCTAATGTTATCTCCCTACTCTCTTGTGGTAAATTAGAGTGACTGGGAAGATGATGGGTTAATATAAAGGTATAACACATGTTTTTACTTGCATACTTTGTAGCTAAAGCAAAGACATTATAAAAATATACAGAAAATGAAGTAATTAAAGTAAGACTGCTACAGTGAACCAAATTCTGGAAGCTTTAAATGAACAAGATAAAAGGCAAGTTAGAGTATTTGTATCCAGTCCTCGGGTGGAAATCAGTTTCACCTTAGCTACTTATTTCTGAAGAGTATTTTTCAGGTTTCTGGAAGAAGGTTTGTTTTGTCTTTTTTAGCTTTGTCAAGCAGAATCCTGCTGTGTCTCACTTAAGATGTCTGCATCAAAGCACACCAGTGGCTACTTTTTTACCTGGTTAAAAACAAAAAGGTTCAGTTGTATTGGCATTACTGAGAAGACTTTGAAAAACCCTGTTTTCTCATAGCCAGTGCTATCAGATCACAGCAAAGTATGGAAATTTGGTACAGGGAAAGGTGAGAAAGAGATTGCTTTTTATTTCTAGGCCAACCTGACAATGCTTAAAAAGCTTTCTGCAGAAGCTCATGAACATTTTGTCATGTATAAGTGTTTCTGAGACTTGAAGGCCCAATATTTGACATGGTTAAGAACTTGCAGAGAAAGCTTGATTCAAGTATTTGAATGTGAGCTCATTCTCTAGGTAGGTAAAACTGTTGTTTTATTGAAAACAAAAGCTAAATGAGATCGTTTAATGGTGGGCTTGCAGCAGGCAGTGCAGAAAGAAGCATAAGTGCTGATCATAATCCTTGTAGCCTCCCAACACAGTATTGACATGGTCACAAATGACTTTATCAATATGAAAATACCTACCTTTAGTTTAAAAAGATGCTTGAAAGACTCAGAAAAACCTCTCCCCTGCTATGTTTTCCAGCCCTGTCAAAAAGGAATGAAAAGTTTTTGAGGCAGTCAGATACCCCCTTGACTGTACTTAGTTTTGTCAGAAAATACAGCCCTTTGCATGAATGGAAAATTTTGAACAGTAAAATCTTCACTAAACAGTAATGATA